AGACTTTGATAGGACCTAGGGAAGGACTACGTAACAATATGACAGACTCTGGTCAACATTCCCATCACAAGGACGAAGGGGGTGATAACGACAGTGTGAAGTTTGAAGGGTTTTCATAAATGCCGCTCGAAGGGCCACACACACTACATCGTGAATAAGTACGGAAAATTTCACTCGAGCCCTGCCCCCCCCATCTGTGCTATTCGAGACACTACATTAGGAATAAGCTCGGTAAAAATCAGTGATAGAGAAGGCATGATAGAAGGATATAGGAAATGTGAATAGGCCAGGGCAGAAGGTGAGATACCATAACTGTTTAGAACATGTTTGGTCAAAGGATAGGCTTCACTTGTCCATTTGACGAGTTGTAATATGGTGCTACGAATAGCGAGACTCACTAACGATGCCGACTACGATGCCGGCGAAACGTTCACTTGTCTCTTTGACTAGTTGTAATATGGTGCTGCGAATGGCGAGACTCACTGACGATGCCGGCGAAACGTCTGTCTCTTTGACGAGTTGTAATATAATGCTACGAATGGTAAAACTCATTGACGATGCCGGCGAAACGTCTTGGGGTCTCTTTGACGAGTTGTTGTATGGTGCTAAGAATGGCGAGACTCACTGACGATGCCGGCGAAACGTCTGGGAAAGCGCGGTCCGACTTTGGAAATAATTATGCATAAAATGGACTCAGGACAAGGTGCGTTCCTATAAGTCTTCCTACTAACATGACCAAAGTTGCGAAAACAAGGTCAAACAACTTCTATACAATGGAAGGAGACTGCGACCACAAAAAAAGACCACACAATCTTGGTCTTCATACTTTTAAGTTGCTACTGTTTAGCATTAAGTGAAAATTGTTAAGGAATGGCTTCATTCGTTGAAGATTTCTATCACACGAAAGAAATAAGCCGAGCAAAGATTCATTGTAAAGCAGGCTATCATAGATTTCTCTTCTTTAAAAAGACAACAGCAAACAATGGTTGAATCCCAACTTTTAAAAAATAAATAAATTTATAGCATAAAGGATGTTCGCAAATGGAAAACAACTATTTGAGCATTAAACAAGGATTAAAGATGACTCCTATATTGTGTAGGAGAGCAGTCTGCCCAGGTGGTAAGTTTGATATGCAAGACATATATTTAGGATAGAGCTTTTTGCCAACATGTAAGTTAAAATTTGGGTGCCAGAAATTATTATCTAAATCAGGATTTATATAATAATAGTAAAAAAAATAATAATAATTTTAAAGTGGCAAGAAAAGGAATAAAAGATGCTTGAATAAAATATAATAATAGAATTGAAGCGAAGGCCGCGTTTTCAGGGCGACTTAGTCGGACGCACCTTGTCCGAAGTCTTCTGCTCTACTAGTTATCATAATTCCCAGTGTCGGACGATGGACTTGATGCATTCCAAGACGTTTAGTCAGCTACGTCAGTGAGTCTTGCCATTCTAAATACCAAGCTAAAACCCGCCAGAGAGAAATGAAGTAAATCCGACTCCGATACCGGCAAAACGTCTGGGACTGCACCAAGTCCATGGTCCAACGCTGGGAATAATAGTAAATACTAGAAAAGAGGACTTCGGAGAACTAAGTCGCCATGCCAACGCGACCAAGTTGCGAAACCGAGGTAAGACTATTTCTAAGATCTAATCAAGTAAAGTAAGTTAGAGAAAGAATTGGAGGTTTAAATAAAAATCAAAAAGAAAAAGATAAGTGCTTGATAAAATTGCTCAGTTGAATGTATACCTGCAGAGCTTGTGGAAGGTGCTGGAGTGGAATCAAGGTTAGATGATCGAGTTTGTAACTCGGCAAGACCATGAGGTTTTTGTCTGCCCTTGGTGGCAGTCATTTCTTCCCGAGTCGATGGAGAATGATCATGATGCAGAAACGTGTAAATAGGTGAATAACGAAGAGATACTTCACTTGTAGCATCAGCAAGCTTAGAATTTGATTGAACCTGATCGGGAATAAGATGACTACGTGACAGACTTTCGGACAAGTTATCTAAAGACTAAAAAAGATAAATGCATTTAATAAACGAGATGAAAGCTTACGATTATGGGCTGAATGAAAATTATGATTTCGCTCCAACACGCCGGAACGACTTAATAATATATATAAGGGCACAAAATATACAAGGCATTTGTTGTATATGTATATATATATATATACGCATAAACAATAATTAAAGGTTGCTAGATATTGTCATTTAAATGTAGCCTCATGTTTAAAAACGAGAACTCAAACCAACTATGGTTGCTCGGTAGTCTACTGTCTCGTGAGAAGATGGTAAACAGATTGACTAAGATGTCAGACTGAGCTAGCCCCTATGTATCTATTTTAGCTATGGGTTATAAATATGTCTTAATTTGGCCTCGTTCGCATGGTTTGAAATAATATGCAAGTCTTTTTTATACATTTCATTACCGAGTTAATATAGTCTAAAGAAGCAAGTTGGCATTCTGAAATCATAGTCAGTGGGAACAGCAAGTTAAAAATAAAGTAACCCGTCAAAGTAAAATCTATTAAAGCCAATTTGTATTGGTTCAACAGATGATAATCCGCTAGATTACGCTCTCTCCAATATGCTTCTCAGTGGTGTGGAGCGAATGAATACAAGAATATGCAATGAGATAACAAGGGAAATTGGAATAATCATATGGTCACTATAGTAAAAAATAATTTTCCACAATGGTAGAATGTGAGTTTCCAGCGCTTTCCTTGCTTAATATACCGATATTAGAAAACCATTATACAACATAACAATGTCAATATATGGTACAAATAAAAAATATAGAAAGTGTAATGTATGATGAATTTCAGAAAATATTATCAAGGAATAAAAATTAGATGGGTCCAAGATAAGGAAAAAAAAGATATTGTGGAAATTTAAGAAGTCAAACTCATATATATATATATAAGTATTTCATAGAAATTAAAATGGAGATAAAGTTTGTGTACATATAAGGCATTAAAAATTAATGCAACATTCTTAAAAAAGCCGTGATATAGGGAACTTCAGTCTTACGTACAGCTAGAAGTAGGTTGACCTCGTTTTCGCAACTTGGTCTTGTTGTCAGGGCGACACACCTCGCCCAAAGTCCCCTGTCATAGTAGTTATTATAATTCGAAGTGTCAGACCGTAAACTTGGTACATATTCAAATGTAATTACTATAGCAGGAGACTTCGAACAAGATACATCTAAGTCACCCTGAG